TGCGGTAGTAAGTAATTCCATATTAGTTTGTTTATTAGATGTATCACACAGTAAAACAGTATGATATACTGGATTACTTTTCGAAAAAAATTTATTGTTCATAATCATATCATTTGTAATCACACGACTTTGAAACTTGACTTTTATAGTTTTCTTTGTTTACTCTTATTTGTCATCGTTGGGGTAGTAGAATTTTCCAGATATCTAGCTGGACAGGTGTTGAATCATTCCTATTACATGTATTTGCAGTTGATTCGATAAACAAAGCTTCTGTTATCAATCTCTCCCTCCATTCACCCTGTGACATTAGATTTTAAAACTGTCATCCTATCCCATCCTATTGTATAGTTGTCTGTAACTGCGTGTAATGCTATAACTGAAGTATTCTCTAGATTTCTTATCTTATTTGGGTCAACCAATTTAGGTTGTAGTGGGTGCGTACTGTGAAGAGTCCCAGACTAGGACAAAACATCTGTCCAGTACTCCTTGGTGGGCTTTCCAATGGTTCTCTAACCGATTTCAGTTCATGATGAAATCCTCCATACAATCAAAAAAAATCCCCACAAAAAACAATACTTCAAATAAAATCAGTCACCGGGATATATAAATAATTGCCAATTAAAGGTTAAAACTCTAAGGATAAGCCTATAAGGTGTTTACCCCTGTTTGTTTGTTTTCTTATGAACTATTAGTTTAAAAAAAGGGTGTGACAGAATTTAGCTAAACGCCCATTACAAAAAGGAGAAGATACCTTGCCTCCTGCCAACCACCTTAGTTACAAAAAATGGGAATAGAGATTAACTTCTGCTTCCTAATGTTTTTCAAAGCAAAAATTGTATTGTCCCCTGATTTACTTTTCTGCTGACCTAAAATTCTTCATCCTGTTAAAAATGAAACTTATTTGTTTTGTAATTTTATTAACTCTATGTTGGTATACATGAGATATAGAGTGAAGGTTAGTCAAACTCTGGAGGTTTTGTTTTTTAATTATTCCTTTTCGTCTCCAGGACTTCAAGCTAATGCTCTGAAGTTTCGGTAGAAGTTGTATTTATTTCTACGGGATGGAGTTGTTAGCCTCATGCCCAACCTTCCCTCTTTACCAGTCTTATTACTGTCTTAGCGAGTTAAAGGAGTGCGCCCGTGGTCGGGGATCCAAACCCGAACCATCTACGTGATTGGCGAGCATTCTATTGATCTGCAATCGACGCGCTATCATGTTATTAGAGAGAGAGAAAAAAGAAGCTTAGTAAAGATATCTTTTCGGTGATTTCATTCCCAATAGCTGTACAGTCGTATCTATGTATATGCGATTCACATATATATATCTACAAATGAACGCACTGTGTGGGAACTTAAAAGGGCAGTACATACACTTGAGACAACAAAATGGAAACGCTGTCAAAGTGTCTTTGTTGACGTTTTAACTTGCAGACTGATCGTCAAAATTCTGAATATTAATCAAGGTCTGAACCCCGGAGGTAATCAGTGTAATACAGAGAAAGTATCCATTGCTTCAGTTTGTAGAATACATTACCTTGAGGTGATGATAACCTTATTTCTGTTAAGAGAAAGACAGTGTGTAATTAGTACTGTACTATCCTGACAACTTTTTTATCCTCATTAACTTTAAGGCCAAGTTAAACTTTAAGCACCACTAACACTACCAGTGGAGTGCAGCCGCATCAATGACCTTGAAACGCTCGCTCACTCAGCAAGCCAGTGAAACCTGGCAAATAATGTTGTCATCATCAATAAAATATATGCTCAGCGAAGTGTTACGCTATTTAATGGAATATCTGGGAAGTTCCAGATTAGGTTTGGGAAGGATTAAGTTATGCTTTAAGCCAAGGACAAGTTAGGGTTAGGTTAACACCTAATAAAGGCGATATTAGGGTGTTGGTTGGAGTTAGATTACAGTTAGTTTAGGGATATTTACACGTCATGGTTAGGTTCAGGAAAGATTAGGTCTAAATAATAAAATGCATAGAATGTGGTTGAATTACTCTGTTGATATAAGAAGAGAACTTGTGAACTATGGTAGAGTATAATTCCATTGTGTGGGTAAAATTTATTTTGATAAAGTCTCACAGTGTTATACAGTAATATTTTCAGATGAGTACGTTTTGAACACCGTTTATCGCTCATTAAATATTACTGTATTACATTGTGAGACTTTGTCGAAATAAATTTTACCCACAATGGAATTCTACTCTGTTGATACTCTAACCTAAAACTGAGGGCTATTTTTATCACATGTGAGAGGAAGGTATCCTCTGTAACATTTTTATACAGTTTTTATGCATTATTTCATAAATATATGTATTTCTTCACGTGATTGGTGAGTCCGAGGTGATTCGCTGTATGGCAGTTAGTGGTGCTTAAAGTTTAGCTTTGCCAAATTAAACTCACGAAAAATATCCTTCCAGATAGCATCGGTGCTTCATCGGTAGAATGGTCGCCAACCACGCAAGAGGATCAAAGTCCGGTCCTCTGCTGATGCACTCCTTAAACTCGCTAAGCAGGTAGGAAATCCGGGGAAGAGGGTAAGTTTGGCATAAGGCTAGCAACTCCATCCCGTAAAAATAAGCACCACTACTACAGATACTCCAAGCCTCTAGCTTGAAGACACTTATGTTCCACGGGGAACGTAAAGGAATAAAACAAAATCCGTCCAGACGTAGAAATAAGGAGAAACATTTCAGCTTTCGTTGGTTTCGGCTTTTATGCGTTTACCTATGAAGTGTGGGAGGTAGCCATTTTCACTTAGTGTCTTCTTCAAAACAGTGATCTGTTTATCTGCTGACTCATGATTGTAGATTCTTCGGGTAGTCGTCACAAGAGATCTTATCAGGTTTTGCTAACGATTTATGGCACCGAACTGTAAAATTTTGTCAATAGGCTTTTCCAGGTAGGCTTTCTATATACAATGTGTTTAGCATCTCATAAACCTTCTTTGTTCTCATTTTCATATACTTTACTTGAGATTTGAGTGAATAATTTCCACTCAGTTAGCTGAATGCCTCATTAAGAGTTTCGCTTCAATTTCAAATTGCTGGAGTCAGCTTTGAACATAGGCTTCCTGACTGGTGATTCTAAACTGCATCAGACAGTGCCACACTCAGAGATGTTACCACTGAGCAATTCGATACCATTTATCGGTCATTAAGGTGTAACCATAGTTGAGTCCTTACTGCCGGATGTTATATAAATCCGATCAGAAAACTAGTAAATTCACTATTGCAGAGTAGTGTGACAAATATACACCATGAGCTGTGTATGTCACAAATAATGTAAATTCTAGCATATTCGAGAGCGCTGAACATAAATACTACATGCAGACTGTGGTCTCACCACATTATGCTATTGCATATCTGAAAAACAGAAATTATGCCAAGTTAAAGAGAAAACAACATATCTAAGATGAACCTACTGGAAACACTCAAGAATACGAGTAGGAATGTTACTAGGCGTAGCAATCAACTTTTAAGTAGTGATGGCAGTTTATGGATCAAGCGTATTCATCAAAATAAGTGATAAATCACTTCTGAACACTTTGGGACACTTCTCATCCGAGTACTAGGAAGAATAAATGGAGAAGAAACTTAACATACTGACATATGTTTACAAAGCACACCTACAACCAAAAAACTTTCTCACCATGATTAATATCTTAATCACTCTAAGTAGGGGCCAAAAGTTATACCACTGGTCTATTCAGATTATGACTTATCCCTATAAGAATGAAGAGCTTATTTCACACAGGCCACCAATGTGCATACAGAATACAATCTCTCACCCATTTAGCCAAGATTTGAACAACTTTCTAGTGAATTTCCTTCCTTCAGCCATCAGTAATGAGGGTTTCGGTCTTAAAAGGACAGTAACTTCCCTCAATCATAAGAATATGACATGTCAATGAGAACTAGTTATACCAACCTGAGGGGAAGTGAAAATTTCTAGCAGGTGTCCATTTCTGTTACTTTATATAACATTGAATAGTTTCAGGCATAACTCAATAAGGATTTGAGTAGGTAAATATAATCAATTTTAAAATTAGAGAAACCTAAATGTAATGAAATAAGAATACCAATGAAAACAGAATAGTAACAAGTAACAAACCAATAGTCCGAGACCTCTTGGACTGATGCTAAATATTACGATGAAAGACTTACACAGTTGGGTCTTTTGATTTAGTCAGTAGAACATAGAATCCGTAAAATATAGACCTTTAGTTGACAGATGACCTCGAAACATCAGTTTGACATTATATCACTCCACAAAAACTTGTCAATATATTAATCATGGCTTAATCACAGGTTCCAACATCACTCTGGAGCAAAAGTCAGAAACCTGAGAATATCAGAAAATTATGAATCGAATCGAATCCTATTTGAATTGCATGGATACATAGTTTGTGAAGGTGACCGTATCCACCTAACTCAAGAAAATACTAGAAAGCCTAAACTGTTGCAGTACTTTGTGTTGGTTAAGCTGTGACGGTTCTCAAAGGTAATAAAAGCATTCGTGCATCCGCGTCACCTAAGTTCAAAGCAGTTATATCCCTACCAACAAAACATTTAATGAACCAACAGAGACTAATTGAAATTAACAACTGTAAATTCTCATTAACGTTATACTTGACTGATATATGACAGACACTCCCATGTAAAAAGCAAAAAACCTTAAGTAGAGTCATTGAATATGCAGTCTCTCAATAGAAAAAAGGTATATGAACCTTTTGAAATGATAATTATCATTCAGTTGCAGTGCATGTGAAATGCACTTCATACGTGTATAAAAATCTCATCAAAAATTATTGCAATGATAATCGCAACAGAAACCTTAAAAACTATTTGACTGCAGCTATTTTTCACATTTCTGTCACTATTACAAATAAAATAAAGCCTTAAACTTATAACCTAAGTGAACACACATAAGTGAGAGTAACCATGTATCAGAAGCAATAAATATACCCAGAATATAAAAATATCGCGAGTTACCATTCTTTTATTTCAGAAACTCTATGATATCGCGTGCCTGAACCCAATGTGCTACTCATAACGCTGCAGAAACGCTAAAATCAAAAATGAGTCTTTAACAACAAATTAACGTTGGTTTGGTTAAACAAACATTCTCTACCAAAGCCTGTACTTGTAAATCCATTCACCTCGTTTCTTGAACAAACATATCTCAGCGAATCTTACTGAATTTTCGTCAGTTTTCACTGTTGTCTCACAAAGTCAACACTTCTGAAAAATTTATGTCTACTGTTCTGTGACCGTGCATTCCTATACATATTTATCACCTAATTTACCTATATACATTCTCGAACCTGTGTTAATTAAATATATTTTTCCTTCACTACTTTGGTAGTGTTAACACTTCCTGTCGAACATGTTAAGATCGATAGGATAAGGTGTCAGCAGATTTCAGAATAAGGAGGACAGGTGGCTACACAGCGATCATTAACGTTATTACTACTAATTGAGGTCAACAAGCTCAGTATTTTAGGGCACCACAAGCACAGGAATTGTTTAGTCCTATATATGGTGGACATGATGAAATAAAGACTGAATCAGCCTATTTTCCCATACACTATTCAATGTTCATTAATATTGTCCGCTTCCAAGTGCTCATATTTAATCGATAAGCAGCGATTATATCGTCTCATTTTTCCTCAAACCATACAGATCTTTCACTGAAAACAGACACTAGCACACGTTACTTTTCAACTTCACTGTAAAAATACTAATTGTTTAAGGACACTATAGCTGTTCATTCCTTGCGCTCCGAGTGGAGCATAGGAAATCTGCAGCACATCTGCACTGCATCCTCTTCCCTGACGTCTTCATTAGCTGGCCATTCACGACTCTCTCATGACATCCTCTCTATTAAACATGAAGTCCTCAATTGAGTTTTAGTGAAGGGCCTGACGTCTGATGAAGGCTGACCTAAGTGAGTTTTGTGTTTGCGCGGAATTATGTCATGGGCCTTCAGGTTGCTTGGCGTTGTGCCTACTAGCAGTTCAACTGCTGCTGGGGTGCTGTGAGTGCTGCCCTTACGAAAACCTTGCAAAACTTGACAGATCAGCTGATAATTGCATATCTGTTCCCAAATTTGCATCATTCCATCCTAGTCAGTTCCTATCATTATTATTGCTTTTGTTATTGATAGACTTCTAACCGGTCACTACCTAAAAGACCACCATCAACATTGCACTGTATACCAACTCTTCAGTGCCAACAACCGTGGATGGCTGGGGTCAAGTATTCCATCTACCGTTACTCAAACTTCACAGGCCTCACACATTTTGGAAGTAATTTAGCATCATCTGCACCCAACCATAAAAGTTTACCTGACACGATCCCGTTTGTGACATACTCATCAATGCCCCCCGTCTGTTGCAGAGGCGACACTTCCCCTGTGGGTGAAAATGACAGAGACCACGGCCTTTAAATTCCTCTACATTTTTGTGACTGGTGCTTATTTTTGGTCAAACAACTGCATCACATCCATCTTCTCTATGTTCACATGAAGCTTAGTCTTTGTTGTCTATACAGACAACTTGTTGGTTTTCCCCCGCAATTCTTCAGGTCGGCAAAACGTGAGACATAAATCATTCGTGAAGTCCAAATCTCCTAGGTGTTTTCCACCAGTCCAGCATTTGCCCATCCATACTGACTGTTGCATGAGCCTTTACATCACATGCAGAATGATCATCGGTGGTAATAAATGTCGTTGCTTTTGTCCTACCTCATCTTCAAAGTCCTTACTGAGCGTTTTGTTGTGAATTACTTGGCATGGAGCATTGTCAAATAGTCACTAAATGAGGTTTGTGAATTTCTGTGGTTTTTTCGTTTGCAGTGTTGAAGGGGCTATCAAATCACTTGATGTTCGACACTGTCAAGCACCTTCTCAACGTAGATGAAGTTGACGTACATCATTGTCAGTCATTCTACGCTTCATCTAATTATGATGCGCGGTGCTTCAACCTCACCTATACATGGTCTGTTTTTGATGAATCCGAGTCGTCCTGGACAAAGTTTTCAACCCAGATCAATTCCCAGATTCTCTCCAAGATCATGCGACCTCATATTCTGCCTGGGGTTGAAAGAAGAACAATGTCACTTCGACTCTTACATAGTTATCTGCGTTCAAGCTGGACATCTGTTTAGCTGACTTTTCGTTAGTTTCATGCTCACCTCGAAAGGTGCACTGCAGATAACATTTTTTAGCAGGATAAAAAATGGACATTACTTTCTCCGGCGCCATGCTGAATTTATCAGCGGTTACATGAGCTCAATCGTCTGAATGTATTCTAAAAGCCAGATATTAGTCAACTATTAACACGGATTCATAATATGTGAGATCGTATTCGCAGTTCGCAGCTTACTCAGTTTGATGTCACCACAGTTTCCTTCGCTGGTGACACATTTACAGATCAGAGTGAACTCTTCTTACTGCATTCTCAGATGTCAGAGAGCTTGGTTTAAGCGTAACTGGCTACACAGGACTACCAGTTATCGGTTACAAGCTTCAAACGCTCTCTGTACAGACTGTTTCACTCTACTGATTATATTAATAAACTATTTACTCCTAGAACGAATCAAGCACTAATCTACTACAGCACCTAAAAGACGCACTTCAACACCCTTAGCAATCTTTAAACTATAAATAAACTAGCAGCATGGATGCATAAAGACATAGTACGGAACATACAGGATTAGTTTACCCTTAGAAATAGGACCTGTCACTCGTTGTAACCTTCAAACGCTTGCTATATAAACTGTTTTGTCCAAATGACTATCCCTACCAGAACCCATCACTTATTTCTAAAACGCATGAGTCATTAGAACACTGAAACGCTCAGACTCATTAATACACATTATGACATTAAATAAACTCTAAGACTTCGCATAAATACGTGAAAACAAATACAATATAGAAAAATATTTACTTTGGTATAATACAAAATTAAGATAAACATTTATAAATGCATAATATATAAATGTCCTTTTCATGTTCACATACTTTCTCTTTCTGGTATTTTGCTGCTCCTATTCATCTTCTGGTCGAGGTCGAACAACCCTGCATCTAAACTGAAATGAGGATTAATTCCAAACCGTCTATCTCATAACCACTCAAATTCCATGAACGATCCAATTCTACCATTTGAAGACGCTGGCGAACATGCTGTAAATGAGTATTCGTGATCTGAAATGAAGAAGCAACTGGTCTTCAAATAGTTTTCAACATTTTACTCAACTTACGAATACAGTCCGCCATGCAGACACAAATGGAGCAAATGGAGAATTCTGGAATCGACCTCGGCACCACTTGATGCAGTAAAACAACCCAACATGACCTTATCTAGTTTTCGTATCCACGATCAAATTTCTTTCCTGTTATAAAACTACGATAAGACTACTGAAAAAATGGAATAAATATATCACTGATCTCAACATAATACATCAATAATCTTTAAGCCAAGGGAGCTGTTCACAACAAAGTTATATAGGAAAATTGACTTCAAGCTTTATTTTTCCCAGATATCTGTATTACATTCATCTGATGTCTGGGTTTTTTGTTAATGCGAAGACAATATTTCTATATCTCTTTATGTGCTACACAAACAAACTTTATAGCAGACTGTTCCGACTGAATTTGATGTCAGAAAGAACAACCAAACTGTAAATCCATTATACATCAAATTTTGTGTAATTTATATAATAACTTATCCATGCCTGTACAATTGGTATGTTCCTGCATAAACAGGAAGAAATATATATCATCATCATCACATGACACAATAAAAATTGAGCCTGAGACTCATTGCACATCCAGCGCAAGATAGAAGAAAGTGGAATTACTCGTATCGGAACTAGTTATGGGGAAATTTAATCTTTATGAATGAATGATGCAGAAATTTAGAGGATCGTTTCCTCTAAAATAGCAACATTATTGCTCGCATGTTACTTCGTTTAGTGTCACGAAAACGGTCGCCGCTTGTCAGTGTTTTTTGAACTGTTTTTGGTAGAGATTCCGGATTTAAGCATATTCAGACCAATGCCGTCGGTTTTGTCCCTCTCCACCAGCCCTAACTACATCCCCAGGGGTACAAAATGAATCCTTAGCAGTCTTATAGTAACGTGGCTCTCACTCAATGCAGTTTATCCAGTTACCTAATTAATCAGTACTTCGCCTTATGTGTGTTATTCAAGTAAGAAGATTTGGAGCTTATTTATAAATATGGCTGTGTTGCAAACTCAAAGCACGAGCGTGTTGGTAGCACAACTGAAGAGTCCAAAAGTGGCGTTGGAGTAGGTCCCCATTTGTAGACATTATGACAAAATCTCGAAACATGGGAATTCGCACTGCACATCCTTGAAAAACAGTAACATCTGCCTTCATTCTTTGGAGCAAAGGTTAGGTGGAAGAGGTCAGGCTTAATACCTACTAGTATACGAGGTGAGGTTTAGGGGTCCACCTGCCAGAAATTGGACTCGAACGCCTCATGTTGCTGAAGAGAATTCTACTAGTGAACCACCGATGAGAGTTAATTTACAAACCACAGTAAAGTCCGCTTGAAAATTTTTCCCACCCAGAGTATCAAGTTCCACCAACCAGGCCATATATGGCCATAGAAGGAGCAGATAAATAATCCAAAAGTATCAAACGTACTGCGAAAATGCCAACTGTCAATCAATGAACTTCGGCTGAAAAACTATACCTTTTCCCTTTTCAGGCGGAATGACACTTACTGATTGCTTCAAACAGTATTAGGCTGGCCATACGTATATATTTATTTGTAGTCCTAGACAGGAATGATTCTGTTCTAGCAGTAAAGAACTCTCTAAAATTATTAGCCTAAAGCACTTCTCACTCAAACCTGAATGCTGACCTACATCGCTTCAGCCAGCTCATTAGCCCGAAGGTTCTTAGTCAAGCATCCATTCTACTTGGCACGCTGTCGTGTCAAGTCCTGTCGCTTTTGCACGATTCCTACCTAGCTAAGCAAATACCAACACACTACGACTCTGATCCCGAAATATGTAGCATATTT